GCAATGACCACGAATGCCGCAAGGGTTGCAGGAGAAGCTGGCTCGTGATTGAAATGATCCTCAAAAGGTCCAGTCGCGGGAGCTGTAGGACGATGGGTGTGGGTGTCTTTATTGGTAGGCGTCGAGGTTGCCAGAGTCTGCGAACTGCTGTGGGGGGGGGGGGGCTGGCGGCAGACGAAGAAGCTGAATATGTAGGTAGCAGTGTATCGAGGTGAGGCGATATAGGTAGACGTGAGAGTGGCGGCGGTTTCTGGCCAGAGCCAAGGTCCGTATGGGTGTGGGCGAGGGTGAGGGTGAGGGTGAGGGTGAGGGTGAGGGTGTGGTAGTGGTAGTGGTAGTGAGGACGGGAAGGGAATGGGGTGAGTGGGAGTAGTACCTATGGTAAGGTAGAGAGAGAGAGAGAGAGAGGTTGCTGATGATGAGATGGGGATGCAGGGCTGCAGAAGCGAGGTCTGAGTGAGGTCTGTCTGTCCAACCACAGTATTGGACTGAGACACACGAGGAGGGATGACTTGACTTGGTGCGTGGTGGCTGTCGCGGTTAGGACGTGAAGCTGGGAATATGGAGTAGCGCAGTATTTACCTAGCTATTGTATGTATGTATGTAGGTAGAGGTACCTTACGTACCTCCGGAGTTGGTACGTAGTAGTATGTAGGTACGGCACTGTCTGCCCTCCCCCCCCCCATCCAAGCTTTTTAGCCCGCCTCCCTTGGCCTCCCTCGGCCTCCCTCCCTTGGCCCAGCTGGGTCTCTTGCCCTCTGCCCTCTGCCCTCCATCGTACTTTGAGACCAAAAGAGTCGATCCCATGGCCCCCCCCTTCGTAATGAATGCAAGACCGTAGAGTACCGGTAGAATGAATAAACGAACGGATCATGGAAACATAAAAGGCGACATGCCCTCTCTCCTCTACCTGCTTGTCAGACGTCCCGACCTACCGATTTTTTGTGAAGAGCCGCATATTACCTATCTATTTTTGTTCTCGGTACCGAGTCAGGTACTTTCGTTCCCGTTCTCTCCATCGATCGAGCTATCGGTACCGGTCCAGCTTGTCCTTCCGCCACCTCATCGGCTTCACATTCACAGCCGGCTGCAAATCCGAAAGCTATCGACAAGAACAGGCGCGAGAAACAGAGAGCAGAGAACAGAGAATCCAGAAGCCAGAACCCAGACACAGAACACAGAACACAGAACACAGAGCAAAGTGCAAAGTGTCAAAGTGCCACAGTGGCAGTCGTACCGTATCCGTACCCGCACCCGTACTTGGCGTCGGAGCCTTCTCAGTTCTGCTCCGGTTGCTGCTGGCTCCATCGATTGCATCCATCGAATACCTCTACATACAGTACAGAAGGTACCGCTATTGTCACTCAAAATAAGCACAACAACCAACCATACGGACTCTATCGATTCGGAGATTCTACTGTACGTACATCATACACGACAACGGAACACGCCCCACCCTATCTACCGGTAGCCCTCCCAGCTTATCCTACCTTACCTACCTACTGTACCTGTACCGGTACCTTATCCCACCTCCCACCTACCAATCCATCCATCCATCCACCCACACGATATATCCACCGTATCCACCACTCCACAGTCTCGTCGGCTCCTCTCTTCAACTCGCTCTCTCTCTCTCCCTCCAATAATCCCAAATTCGCTCGAGCCTCTGCACCATCCTCGCTCTTGGAACTCGATCTGGGAAACAAAGGTTGGATTTCGTCGATTCCCCGTTTCCCCGTTCCCCGTTCCCTGGTCCCCCGTTCCCACTTTTTCCACCCGCTTCTCGCTTTTCTCTCCACCAATCCACCCTCCCCTCC